TACCCTACGATGATGTTCTGAGTTTGCGTGACCGCATGTGGGATATCTCACCCACTCTTGTTCGCTACGATGTTGCGGAACGGACATCTCCTGAAGTCGCTGTGGCAGGTCTTCAGACTATAGCAGCCAATACGGCATCCGCAAAGGTCTCTGGCAAGCCCTTCCTCAAGCCCATCTCCAACTTCTACCAAACCGATCCCATCTCACGCGCGTTAGTGTCTCTCATTTTTATCTATTTTTAAATCCAGGCTCACGCGTTGCTGGTAGATCCGTCACTATGGCACAATGTACGCGTGCCTTTGTCAAGGGAGAGGACTATGGGATCAGTGAAAAGGGCTCGGAAGCAGCGTATGCGTAACGGATGTATACTAGTAGTAGGAGTAGTTGTGGCAATTTCTTAAATTTATCTTAGATGCGCAAGACTCGTGCTCTGCGACATCCTGTGCAGCTATTTTTAGCGTATCGATAGCTCAAATCATCTGCATTGTATTCTAGTAGTTCGACCTCGAGGCGGAACGCTATTAACAGCTGCCGTAAAAGCAGTTAGACCTGTCCTTTCCCATGACATCCTTCATTATTGGCGCACATGCCAATCGCAGTATACCAACAGAATGGAGGGACGATGCAGATCGCAATTGCCCATTCTGCCGTATTATCGCAGGCGAAATGCCCTCGACGCGTCTGTATGAGGATGATAAGGTCATAGCTATTCTAGGTACTTGGCACTAAAAAGTGGGCGAAAATTGTTTTAACCTGCTACACAGATATCTTGCCTTTGAGACGTGGGCACACTCTTATTATACCCAAAGCCCATCATTCGCGCGTGTCAGAATTACCCTTAGAATATGCCAGTGCAGTGGGGCAGGCTGTGACGAAAGTGGCGAATGGACTGACGAAAGGTGAGGATGCTGTTATGATCATTGGTGGGATATGTTAAGGAGATTTGCGCGAAGTGTTGGGTAATACTGCGCTCAATGTGGTTTGCAATCAGGAGTATGCACAAGCAGTACCACACGTATGTGTTCGAATCTTTATCTGCAGCTTTGAAGCTCACTCTATGACGTTGCTGCTCAGGTTCACTACCATATCATTCCCGCCCCGTCACTTAACTCGAGCGCAAGAGTAGAACCATCTGAGAAACCGAAGGAGAATGACATACCTCTAAGCCGGCGGGAGATGCACCAGCGAGAATTTGAGTCGAGGGAGGAGCTTGATGAGGATGAAGGGATGGCCCTGGCTGTGAAGATACGAGCCAGTCTATGACGGTACGGGACAACGTCTATCTCATCTAACATTTGAAACATACCTTACTCTTATTGTACTGCTGATGTTTATCCCTTCAGACTCTTGCTGCTATCGTGTTGGTAACACTCCTGATACTAGCTTAAGTATGTACCGGCCATCTTTGACGATTGATTTATAATTTATGCATTATACTGATCACAATTGTCTTGCCGTATCAGATGTTGTAATATAATACGTATCCAGACGACTTCTGATCTCGAAAGCCTTCGAATGGCAGTGTCACAGCGCCCATAATACACGACGTTAGAACAACCCTTACTATTTGGTTAGTCTCATGAGACATAGCCGCACTAGTAACTCGGTCCTGCACAACGTCACCCATCGGATGCTCGCTACATCACAAGCGCTGTGGCCCTGCTGCACTTTGCAGGGTGGGACTTCTCTGCGCATAGTTGCGCAGTCAGCCCAGCAGTGCTATGCGCCATTGCTGAATTCAGGTCACCGTTCTACTTACGAGCCCGAACACGAAGCTGAACACTGGCATAAAAAATCCCGGAGACAAAGACCAAGCTGTTGGTATTTCGGAATCAAGTAGGTACTATTATGCCAGTACATATCACAATGCTGTACCTCTGGCAATCGTAACACGTCACAAGGCCTTGGTTGCGTTGCTGATTTACCCACCATAACACCCCACAGGCTAAGTGTAGGTATGTTGTGGAGATCAGACAAATTCGCCACAAGAGTGACTAAACCTACGTTTTTGCTGCTGTATCACCTTCCTACTCGCGTTTACCAAAAAATCCATGCGTCCGTCGCAGCTGCACCATCAACCTCTGCGATGTTACTAGTAAGTGAAAATTCCGCCTGCGATAGTGTTAAGCTATGCTAATCCGACATATAGTAGGCATCCGATGATGACGCAACTGGGATTGTGACATCCGAACAAGTAAGCAACAATCAGACGAGGTTGCTACATTTGCATTACGCACAGTTCACAGTTGCCTCCATACGCAGAGGTACAGTACTTTGAATTATAGATTGCCATGCCGGCGTATCTGACCAATCAGGCCCAGGATGCAACTAGAATGATCCCTATCTCTTCGAGGCTCTTTGAATCTGGATGCGCACACACGTGTTACAGTGCCTATATACACAAGTTCACGTTAGACCAACGTTGAACAGCACCACATGTTGATCAATCGATGTGGTCCGCACAATGTGACTAATTGGAAGCTGCATTCATGCATACATAATCTTGCTGTGTATTTTCCCAGGTTCTAGCTGACAGGTTCCTATCCTCGGAAACAACTGACTGCAGCAGGTACTATTAGGGTTTTCGTCAGCCCAGCAGCACTCGGATATTCGCTGTTTGCCTATCCCAGATTGCTGGCTCAAACAAACTAGTTTGTGTCAGTTAAACCCTGGATACACAAGGTTCATCAAAGTCCACCCTGCGGCTGTGACCTTGAATACCATCAGCTTATCGGTGATGCGATATCGTAAAGTGTCGTCACGAGGTCCGAACGATTAAGCCCCACTAGACCTTGAGCCTCGAGGTGGATGGATTCGATTCCCGCCGAGAACACGACCCAAGTCGTTTCCATATATAACAATACACATGAAAACCGGCGAAGATGCTCTTTCTTTCCTTCGCACATCTCCTAGTCTGTACACAGCTGAACATTTCTATTTCTCCATGGCTGCAGGTGGCATCCCATTAGATGCCGGTACTTTAATGTCAACTGTACTGGAAGGCGTTTTATATGGTGAGTTTCGCAATAGGTCTGTCATTCCCGTGCTCACCAAGCTGGGATCATGACTCTAGGCTTTTCAATCCTTCTGTTTATGGGTACGATCTGGTCTTTGACCTACAAGCAGCGCATACAAGACATCAATCGCCCAATTGCCACGGTGGTCGTCTTGCTGTGGATGCTGAGCACTGCAGTTAGTGCTTCTTTCTTCTTATATTTGTTGACATCTGCTAACGTCTTCCAAGCACATCATCGTGAACATTATTCGTGTTGAAGACGCATTTGTGAAATATCGCTACACGTACCCAGGTGGGCCGTCGGCATTCCTCGCAGACGTTTCCCAGAAAACGTATGTACTCAAGCATGCATTATATGTCTTACAAACTCTACTTGCTGATGGAGTGGTGGTAGGTTCATATTCTTATCTACTTGTTCAAAACATTGCGATTTTCTTTTCTTTTTGTTGATGGCTGTTTGAACCTCTGGGCTTATTGAAATTATCATGTTATAGATTTATCGCTGCTATATGGTTTGGCAATCCATCTGGATTATCATTCTGCCAAGCATGCTGTGGTGCAGTGTCGCAGGTTAGCCCACTATCAGGCTCCTGAAGTTGTGCTGACATTGCTTGCTTCGAAGTGACTGGTATTATTTGGCTGTATTGTGCGTCCCAATCCGGGAGCGACTCTGGAGACATCTACGCCCAAGTGCTTGCGAAATGGGTCACAGCGTTCTTTTCCTTGACAATTGCGACCAACTTGTTAAGTTCAGGTAAGCACCTTTCTGCGTGAGTACGGTTGTCGAGGCCCTGATTGTGTTCAGGATTACTGATATATCGCATCTGGTTGACTGAGAGGAACGCCTCTACAGCTCGCGCCACGAATAGCACTATGATGCCACTCTTGCGTGTGCTTATGGATACTGCTGTTTTGTACTCTATGATGCTGTTCACGGCATTAATCTGTTTCGTCTGCTCGAACAATGGAGAGGTTGTCATGTTGGACATGGTGATTCCGCCCTAAACACCTTTCGTCGAACATAAAACTGAGCTTTGATTAACTAGATCATGCCGATCGTGTCGATCGCTTTCTACATGGTGCTTATTCGCATTGCGATCAGTAGAAAATCCCGCAGCTCCTCCAGCATTAATATACCCAGAAGGACAACTAGCGAGGCAAGACAGGACAGCTCGCGGCAACATTCTATAAAGCCTTTGCAGGTCCATATACCCCAATTCAATGTCAATACTCCAGGGTTCAGCAAAGGAAATGAAGGCCAAGTATCGCCATACCCGGCAGAGTCTGTGTAAAACGCACCTCGAAATATGTATGTAATCTACTTGAATTTGACCTCTTAATACTATATGGCATGTCAGCACGAATAACCGCCGTCTCGGTGTCAATTGTGTCCACTCCGTCATGCGCTGGGTATCTGCAATCCATTCCCTGCATCCATTTTGTTTCCACATTCACGACACTAAGTACCTTCCATGGCTAAGAGCGAACATTATACATTGCTTTGTCTGACGGCGACTTTGCTGTCGTCGTCGTGACCTTTGGAGCTAATACAGGTTCCGTCGAGGACCGCACCTGTTGAGGCACCTGAACAAGCACCAGACTCAGATTACTTAGTGCAACCTCGCGATCGAAAAGGGATTGGTGAGAAATGCACGATTCCGAGTGCGGATGACAGCTCTACATCCTCGATTCGTCGAAGTCCAACCGCTCAACAATCTCGAAAACCACTTTATCCCACGTACCGTATTTTATTTTCATCCTTACCGCTCGAGCTGGATGGTGAATCGCAAACAATTTCATTTGAGACTAGCTTGCACAACAACTTTCAATGGCAAGGTCTGCTCTCTCGCATAGCTCTGGATCTCAGAACTAGTCCTCTTGCTCATAGTCAACTATATACTGTATTGTCCAGTGTGTGCTTATTTTCAGGAGCAAATGTAGTATAATTAAAATATAGGGTTCAAGTAGCACATGAAGATGTAAAGGGAATAGTAACATTATAACCTGTGGAGATTGTTGTCAGGGTTTGTGACCGGAAAGAGGGATGACTTACTCCTCTCAGTGCTTCAACGTTCTGTGTGTCTGTTTCTCGCCGCATTTAGAGCATTGCGAACACTTGCAATATCATTGCGAACGCCTGCAAGATCATTCTTGATTCTCTCGTTCTCGTTGCGAGTGCTCTCCTGCTCGTTGCGAATGCTCTCCCGCTCGTTTCGAATGCTCTCGTGGTCTCTCCGAATCTCCGCCATCTCATTATGCAGCGAAGCTAGTATCTCCTTAAACTGGTTTTCAATAGTCACCTGAGGGAGATTGGACGACGATGCAGAATTGGACGTTGATGCAGGATCAACTGTCGGTGTGACATTTCGTTTCTTAGATTTCTTGGCTGTGGAAGTTAATCAGCGCATCTGTAGACTATTCGAATATTACAACATACATTTGCGAGGTGGGACTGCTGATGTGCTTGACCGAGAGGTTGTGGCAGTACTAGTAGTGGCCAACGCTATATTGGGTTTTATGGATGTTTGAACTTGTGCCTTCTGGGCTAATTGGGTCTTGATACGATGATTCGTCTCGGCATCAGGGGTAAATAGTACTGTGAAAGTTTTACAGCAGTGTTTACACCTGATGCCGATAACAGTGAAACTACTGGAGCGGCAGACACTGAGCGAATGCGAAAGCCTAACGTCTTTATGAGAAGTGAGTAGGTTTCTAGAGCAAACGAAAGGCATAGGTTGAAGCTTACCTGGGAATGATTTCGCTTGCATGGTGAGTCCAATGGAGGTTCGAGACCGGTACACCTTGTTTGCTCATGTGATTATGTAGAATTCTCTCGTTGCCACTGTATTTGAGCCCTTCAGGTCGCCTTAAATTGTATTTCGATCGTCTGTCCAGATGGCTGTTGTTGCGACAGTACCTTCCGACGACATGGTGGATGAAGTTGATGAAGCGGTAAGGTATCTTCAACTTGCCGTGAAGGCGCAAGGACCGATCATTGTTTATGTAATTTGTATTTGTATGTATTTACCATCAATGTAGATTCCGAGTAGTGACTGTCTCTGTATACTAGATGGTCCCACGAGTCCGTGTGTCCCAAGAGTCCGCGCATTGACTCTAGCACACGCAATTCTGCACAGAATCCTTATCCATGATAGATCTGGATTCGCCCAAACATAATACACACTGCCATATATTTTTTTTGAAGAAAATCGAAGTAGATCTTGTTCCATGGGCAACTTATCAGTGCGAGAGGCATAGAAGGCTCACTCTAAAGGTCAGATCTCCACATATAATTCTGGAATATTGTGAGATGGTTATATACATGATTAGAGAATACTAAAACAAATTTATTCGGGGCACATGCTTGTCAGGATCATCTGCGATAAAGAAATAAGCCCCAGACGTGACAATCTGCCCAAAGCGTTACATAGAGACTGTGTAATCAAAACTCCGCAATGCCGAAATGCTTTACACATGCACAACTTCACAACATTTATAACGGTGCGAATTCTGCGGAGCGTGAAAAGGCATTGCGGCAGACGTGTGACATAGTGTGACAAAGTGCGCGAACTCTAGGGAAAATGCACTTTTCTGCGCGGTAACTCTCCGCTGGACTCAACACGTCAATTTTCGAAAAAGAAACTAGCAGACGTTGTACTTTCGATGTCACGCTATCGAACTGTCAAATAATTAATTTTGTTTGTTTGTGCGATGTGGAGTAATAACCGTTTTGCCAAAAAGGCGCGAACTCCCGTGGACATCTAGTAACTGATACTACTACTAACTTGTATTGTAGCTTTAGTCATGGGGTGCACGGCCGTTTCAGCCCTTTCCTCTAATACAGTGGTAAGTACTGTGAGAATGCGGCCCTAACCGAAGCTACCGTCTCACTAGCTATAGCCAGAGGTAGGTAGTATTGCCTTCTTGAAGTCAGCCTATCCGTGATGCATCGTCCAAGTCTCATATATAATAATATATGCGCAGGCTGGCAAAGATGCCCACTGGCACACCTTTGCGCATCTACCAGGCTGTAGACAGTCGTTATAGATCTTATTTTTGCCATGGCTTCAAACATCTCATTGGATACCGCTTCTTTACTGGCATTGGTGCTGGAAGGCGTGGCATACGGTGACAAGCGGTTCCTTCGTCCTATGCCTACTGAGCTAAAGTCTCCTCTCTAGGGTTTTCAATTCTCATGTTTATCGGTACTATCTGGGCTTTGACCCGCAAACAACGTATGCAGGATGTCAGTCGCCCAATCATCGTGGTGGCCACCCTGCTATTGATATTGAGTACTGTGGTAAGCACTCCTTGCCTCTTACATATATTGTCATCTGTTGAGTTTCTCAAAGCACATCGTCGTGAACACTGTTCGTGTTGAAGACGGACTAGTGAAGTATCGCAACACGTTCCCGGGTGGGCCAGTGGCGTTCTTTGCCGACCTTTCCCAATACACATTTACGGTCAAGAATGTGTTATACATCTTGCAAACTCTAGTGGCTGACGGGGTAGTGGTGAGTCTATACTTTTATATGCAGCTTAAATCCCTTTGGGCTCACAGAAGTTGTTCGGTTGAAGATTTATCGATGTTATGTTGTATGGCGATCACTCTTGGTCATTGTGCTACCGAGCATGCTGTGGTGCAGTGTTGCAGGTTAGTTCGTGATCATGTTTCATGAAATCATGTTCTCTGATGTCGCATCGAAGTGACTGGTGTCTTTGAAACCTACAGCTTTTCGCAAGTCACAACTGACTCCGAACAAATCTATAACGAGCGTGGGCAACCTGCATATTGGCTTACTGCATTTTTTGCCTCGTCTATTGCAACAAATTTGTTGAGTTCAGGTAAACACGTTTTTGTGGGCGCGGTGCCAAGGCCTGAACATGTCTAGCATTACTTGCGTATCGTATCTGGATAATTGAACATGGTGTCTCTACAGTTCGCACCGAGAAGAACACTATGATGCCGATTGTGCGCGTGCTCATGGATTCTGCTGTTTTGTACTCTGTGGCGCTCTTGACCACATTAATCTGTCATGCGTGCTCGAACAATGGAGGGATTGTCATGATAGACATGGTAATTCTGTCATTGATATCTGTTACCTGAAAAAAGCTGAACTTGGAACTACTAGCTCATGCCCATCATATCGATTACCTTCTACATGGTCCTTGTTCGCATTGCAATCAATAGAAAACACAGCCATACCTCGACTATAGAGATGATCAATGAACCAAGCAGTTTGCAGTATCCTATGCAACAACCCTTGCAGGTCACTATATCCAAATTTACGTATCATGACAGTAATGCAGTGTATCATGATGGAATAGGGAATAAGGCCTCAGGATCGGCCATCGACATTCATGGCGGAATCCAAAAAGGCTCCCCAGAATTGTAAGCAAACTTAGTGTGTCGTTTATTTTGTATTTCCCCATAGATTTGTTTGTGTTTCCACTTTAACATACCATCATGCTTGCACACAGTTCTTGTTATCCGTTTCGTTGCAATTGTATTCCTCTGTCGTCGTCAAATGACTAGAGTGTCATCCAAACTCTTGTCGTCGCTATCGTATACGCCCCATATGTTAAAATGTGTATCATGTTACAGGAGCAGTATTTCATTTCCACATGTCACGAGCTCTTGTAATTAACTCGATGGAAAACGACGGCGGCGAAAACGTGGTCGTGTGTACAGGCCCCCGGAAGCTCCAGCTAATGTACCCCCGCAAAATAGCATTTTTGAGAGCCAAATATTGCAAAATCTCTGCCCGGAAATAGCATTTTTGAGACACTGTGGACGAAAGGCCTATCCGGCTATTGCATTTTTCACGTCCTTCAGGGCAGGTTTATAGGACACTTGTCCAGCGGTGAACCCTATTCCGACCTGTCCCGACTCAAATACTCAAACACCTCACAAAACAGCTTCTTGTCATCTACACATGCCGACATTCAGGCTCTTCTTCCTTCTGAAAGCCAGAGAAAGATCACTGGTACAAGTATCAACGCATACGGCACATGCATGGATGATGGAAGACATGCATTAAGACAGAGATTTCCGAGTCTGTATATTTAATTCGTGGATCGCACCAATCGCATCTGGCCAAGTAAAATCAGGGATTGCCTATGGCACAATTCATGGTCACGTACATGCATCTGTAGTTAAACTTATTACATATGATTGAGATACTATGTGCCTCTATGGTCGCCGCTGTTGTCACCGGTGAGCAGCGTGTCACCATCTGTCACGAATTAGCGGGAGGTCACAGCATGTCACACCACGTGATTTTTTGACCTCTGCCCGGAATTGCATTTTTGAGGCCGATTTTAGCTGGTCGGGCGGGTGTACCTTGGCAGGAGCTTCCGGGGGCCTGTGTGTACACAGTGTAATACAATTCCCACCTAATAGCCGGCGACGCATTCAAACGTTGGCGCAGTCACTTAATCTTGCTCAATTCGCATGTTTCTCACTATCGGTTATCCGTCTGGTCAATTGCGTTCGAAGTTTCAAACCACATTCTGTTCTGTTTGGTTTGCCTAGGGAGACTAGGGAAAAATAAAACTCATGCAAACCACTCCCAACTTGAAAGGCCCACCCACCACAAGTCCAGAGCATCAAAAACTACCCAATATCCAAGGCCGAAGCTGATATACTGTAAAGATTGACAAAGATCTTCCCAAGCAGAACAATGCGGGAGCACGCAAACACCTCGTGGCATGATCCATATACAGACTAAACCCTCATCAGCAGACGTACTTTTGATACACGATATGAACGTGTAGAGAAAGAAATCCCATAGTAGATCCAATTTCCTGCGGTTCCGAGAGCCTGGGGCGTAGTTATTTTGACGTGCCTTGGAAGTCGTTCAAAAGGTTAGCCAACACAGTTCCGAGTCCAGTCCCAATCTAAATTTCTACAGATCTTATCAGTATTGATGTTCAAGGTTACCTTCCGAATGCATAGGGTTGCGTGGGATGTTCCCCCTGGATATTTATGTATCGCTAGACGGTGCGTGTACATTCTATGCTTCATATCGGTTGCTAAGTAGCCAGAGCGAAGGTCATATATTTGCGGGCTTACTATGCAATAGGCACTAGAGAAATGACAAGTCCAACTTGAAGGGCGAGGTACCTAATCACCTCTATTCAAACCATATTGAAGACAATCGTCGGAATTCGTTCCTCCTGCGGCTTCAACCGAAATTATCATAGTTCCGGCAGACTAATTGATAGACGAAAGCGACGCATCATGATACAGAGACCGAATGTCTCCACGATAACCATTATCAAAGATTCAAACCCCACCTCACCCGCTGCGGATGAATCTATGCAAATTCTGTCACAATGTCATATTTAATAATGCACAGAAACTGGCACAGATGCCCACACTTTCCACACCTCCCAGTTGGATTGTAGATTCGTTATGGCTGGCCTCCCTGCAGATACGAGCGCTTTGATGTCAGCAGCACTGGAGAGCATTTTATATGGTGAGTATCGCAATGGGTTTCTCCGTTTCATACTCACCAAGCTAGGCTCCCCTCTTCAGGCTTTTCAATCCTCATGTTTATCGGTACCGTCTGGGCTTTGACTTACAAGCGTCGAATGCGAGACGTCAATCGTCCAGTTGCTGTGGTGGCTGTCCTGTTATTGTTAGTGAGCACCGCAGTTAGTTTCTTGCTTTCAACGTAGTATGATATTATTGGCTGACAATTCCGAAGCACATAATCATGACCATCATTCATGTCGAAAACGGCCTAGTGAAATATCGCGATACATGGCCAGGCGGGCCAGCGGCGTTCTTCACAGACATTACGGAAGAGACATATGTGATTAAACACGCACTATACGTTTCCCAAACTGTACTTGCTGATGGTTTGATGGTGCGCTCTTGTGTAAATCTGCATTTGAAACACTGTGAGCTTACAGGAATGCCTTGTCTGGCAAAAGATTTATCGCTGCTATGCTCTTTGGCGATCCATCCGCGTGATAATCGTACCGAGTTTGCTGTGGTGTGCTGTCGTAGGTCAGGTTTGAATAATATTCTGAAAGTCGCGTACTCTCATATTACCTCGCAGCGACTGGCATTCGTGCTGTCTACGGGAATTCACAAGCCACTTCTGATCCTGGAGACGTCTTCGCCATCGACCTCGAAAAGTGGATCATAGCATTTATTGTATTGACTCTTATAACCAATCTGCTATGTTCAGGTAAGCACGTTCCCGCGAGCGCAATATCGAAGCCCTGAAAGTGTCCAGGGCTACTGATATATCGTATCTGGAACATCGAACGTCGCGTTTCTAAAATACGTGTTTCGAATAGCACTATGATGCCAATTGTGCGTGTGCTTGTGGATGCCGCCGCTTTGTACACTGTGATGCTACTCGGCCTTCTGATCTGTTTCCTCACCGAGAACGATGGAGAATCTGTTTTAACGGACATAGTGAATCTGCCGTTTACCTCTGATGGAAAACAACACTGAGCTCTGATTGACTAGGCCGTACCTGTCGTATCGATCACATTCTACATGGTCATTATTCGTATCACGACCAGTTGTCGACATCACCTCTCGACTGCCAGTACTAGCCGAACCACTGAGGAGATGGAACAGAGACACATGGAGCAATATCAGACGAAGTCCTTAGAGGTCCATATATCCCAATGTACTCATGATGATAGCGCCTCAACTTACAAGGTAGACCGACCATCGACAAGGATTGAAGAGATTTAAAAGGGTATCTTGTACTTGACATGTAGTCGATATGAACTTATGATTGGCATGAATGCCTTACGACGCTATGTTTTGCCTATCTGCCATAGTGGCGCATTCGAAGGCCTAGGGGTGTGATTTTTGCAACACTCGAAGGGAATTCATATCACGCTGGTGAGCGAAGGAACGGAATAGATCTTGACGTGGCAAAAGGAAGATAACCAGCAATAATATATATTTCGTGACGCACACGCAGAAAATCTCATGTCTAGCGAAGCTCACTCGTATGTCGGAAAAAAGGTAAGGGCCATTGTAATGCCACCGGCTTATAATGCCGGTCAGGTGACTTTCAAGGCACCTTAAAAGTGCCTTTTGATGCTCGGTGATGGCCTTTCGAGGCTCGGTGATGGCCTTTCGACCGTGAGACAATCATCATAATGCACCGTAACGTGCTATCGGCGCATAACTTTGTTCCATTCCGCATCAGCCTCGCGGCCAGCTGTCCCATCCTCTTTGTAAATATTGTACACTTGTACACTCTATTCATATTGTTACATCTGATGGCTCCGACTCGTACTTCTCGTCGAGAGAAGTACCATTATTCAGAAGAGACGCTAAAGGCCCAGCTGCCGTGCACTCATTGCGGCAAGTCATTCAAAACGCAGGGCTTCAAGAAACATGAGGCTAGCTGCAAGAAACGGATCGAAAATGAGCAGGAGCAACATCGATTCAACCAGGAGTATGAGAAGGGGAAACAAAATGGTGAGTTTGACTCATCGCACCATCACCTTGTATCTGAGTCATATTAATTGATCTTTTGCATTCTAGCACGAAAGGCTCGCCGAAAGGCTGCAACCAGCGAGGCTGGCCCATCGAATGACATTCAAGTTCACCATGCCCCCATCGACGATCTCCAAGACTTCGACTATAGCCAACTCGAGGATGAACACGGGAATCCAACTAGCCCCGGTAAGTATTAACCTACAATCTACTGCATCTTGCTGACCCATCGTTTTCGCTCAGTACTATCCGATGCCAGCATGGCTAGCAACCCCACGGTTGTCCAGCCTCATGCGGCATCTGTGCAAATGCCCAGCGAATTCAAAACGGAGTATCACCCTCGCTCTGCTCGTGCGACTCTCTACCAGATGTTCGACGAATTCGGTATCACTCAGGAGATGCAGCACGCACCCGTTGACGAGGAACCATGGCGTCCTTTCAGGTCACGCGGGGACTTCGAATTCTCTGAGATTGCGCTTGATGCTGCGCTAAATAAGTCTCAAATAAATGCCCTCCTTGAACTCATTTCGCGCATCGCTCAAGGTCAAGCTCAAATCACTCTGAAGAATGAGACAGATCTTTCGAGGGCATGGGACAATGCTGCGGCTGAATTAACACCGGTGTGTCTGACTGAATCTACTTACATGATCATATTGCTCAATGCCTTAGGCAACCTGCCATTAGTTTTCAAAGCACGAAGTCCCTGTGATATACAAGAGGAAGGAGCAAGAATACGAGGTCCACACACGGCCTGTGTGGGATTGGGCCCTCGATCTACTGGACAACCCCCTGCTCGCACCGCATTTCGTGTGGGATGCCTGCCGTGTTTACAAGCACAACGGTACGGATTTCGAACGCTTTTTCAATGAACCTTGGACAGGAGATCGGTGGTGGGATATTCAAGTGCGTTACAATTAACTGTGTCATATCGTGTGTAAATGTATATAAATGTCAAACCAATAGTCTTCTCTTCCGCCCGACGTTGAAAACGCTGTCCCATTCTGTTTCATTCTCTACGCTGATAAGTCGAAGCTGTCGTCTCATGGTACCGTCAAAGGGTATCCAGTTGTAGTCCGATGCGCAAACTTACCTGTAGACATCCATAATGGCGAGGGGTTTGGTGGTGGTCGTGTAGTCGGATGGTTGCCTATTGTGAGTTGTTTCGTTCTCAATATATGTCAGATTGTTGAATTTACATGTTGCAGGTTCCTGACGATGCAGCCGAAGAAGGAAAACTCGGATACACAACGTTGAAGCGCATTGTGTGGCATGAATCATTTTTCAAGCTCCTGGAACATGTCGCCCAGCACTCAAAGACTGGATATTCACACAAGGGCTATAATGGCATTCCGCGATGGCTGTTTCCTGTGATACTGATTCTTTCGGCTGACTATGAAGAACAGTGAGTTCGTTTTCCATCTCGTCGCTGCTGGTGCCTTCAAGGGTAAACACGCTCATGGCCTTTTGCTCTTTTCTTATTGGTCTTACATTAATACTAACCTATTTCATTCAACAGGTGCATGATGTCGCTGATACGTGGCCGCGGTGGCAAATGCCCTTGCCCCGTGTGCCTAGTACCATTAGCGGAGCTCCACGACCTGTCAAAGAGCTACCCAATCAGAACCGTGGAAGAAGCACAAGAAGCTCTCCGTATTTATGGGTGCAGTAAAGCTGAAGGCGAGCAGATACTCAAAGCGCTCGGATTACGACCTGTTGCGGTACGCACTTGTGTTGTTTCAAACTCATTCCTTGCTAATATGAAGCTTAGAATGTTTTTTGGCTCATCTTGCGTTCGAGTCCCCACGATGCACTTAGTTTAGATCGGCTGCATTCATTGCACGCCGGTCTGTGGAAGCACCTACTTGAAGAATTGAAGAAAATCCTCGCGTCGCTTGGACGCGATGCTCAAGAAGCATTTGAGAAGTCGTAAGTTGTCGATTGTATTCACACCTATCCTGTTCTCACAGTTACAGGATCGCTAACTTCCCCCGATGGCGCCACCTCACTCATTTCAAATCCGTTATCAACATTACATTCACTGATGGCAACAAATACCAGGACCTCTCTAAGGTAAGTTTTTTGGCTTGTTTTGTGATCTTTCATATCACTCATTATCTTGAAGCAAACATTATATCCGGCTTTGAACATCCTGACGCACAGAGCCAGTCCTGTAGGCCACCAGCTGCTTCGCGTTATCAGCAGTTATCTCCAGCTGGATAGCTGGATCGGTCTGGATTTGCATACTGAGCGCACACTTGCAGCGATCGACGCCGAGCTCTTAGTTTTCGATGCTGAGCTCAAGGTTTAGTCTTTACTTGTTGTCTATGTAGCTAATTATACTCATTTACACGACACATTCATTCCTAGGCTTATATTACATGCGCTGAAGAGTCGGAGGTCGAGAAATTGAAGCTTGACTGGAACTTTCCGAAGACCCACCTATGGAAACATGTTGTTCGTGATATCCGACTTAAAGGAGTAGCACGTAACTACAGCACGCGTCCGAACGAGAAGCTTCATGGCCCCCTCAAAGACACCTATCACCGTCGAACGAATGGAAAGGATACCGCGACGCAAGTAAGTTTACAAGATACATTTGTTGTTAGTACTCAGACTGATTCACATCATACACAATTGTATTGATAGATACTTCGTATTGATCACCACAAATTCGCCTCGAAACTTCTGAGAGAACGTGTCAACACGCTTGATGAACACTGCCGGTTGCAGGCACTCGGCGATGGTGGGCTTGATGAAGACATTGATGTTCCTGTAGCCTTTAATGGCCACGTGAAACTTGGCTCTCCGGTGCCACCCTTAGACATCCTTGGCGTTGAGAGTCGTGGTCAAACGGATCGTGCGTTTCAATCTTTTCGTCGGAAATTTAGTGAATTCATCAACAATGCTCTGCCTACCTATGGCCATCAACTGACGAGTTGGGTTACATTCCCAGGCGATTTCAAGGTATGCTAATAGTATCCTGTACAAGTTGTCTAATGCATCATACTAACATGGTACACAGATTCACGAGCACCGCTATCTCAAGGTGAACTATGAGTCGGCTGTGGACTGGAGGCAAAATACCGACCACCTTCGGTGCAACCCCAAATTCCATGGGCGGCCACGATTCGATCACGCGCTCATACAACTGACCGCTGAGGAAACAGCCTTCGTCCAGCTAATTTTCATGTTCAGATGTCATATTTCGAATCTCGGGCCCTTCGAATTCGCACTTGTTCAACCATACACTGCTAGAGTCGGTCCTCGCAGAACAGACTCCACCTTCAAGCTTACTCGTGTCAAGGCTGTCCCGAGGTCGTCATCAATATTTGTCCCGCTTAAATCTTTCATTCGAGGAGCTGTTCTAGTCCCTGATTCTGAGCATCAAGATGAATACTTCGTTGTTGATCACATTGACGGTGACATGTTTCTGCGAATGAAACACATATGAGTAAGTCCATTCAGTATTTGGGTAGGACCGCTCATGATGTTCTGCAGGAATATCCAAACAACATGCGTGCATTTTTTACCAAAGATGCCTCAAACCCGCCTCCAAATTCAGACGAGTAAGTCTACTCAGTATTTGGATAGGAATGCTTATCATGTCTTGCAGGAAATATCCAAACAACACGCATGCGTTTTTCACCAAAGATGCCTCCAAATTTACACGAGTAAGTCTACTTATTATTTAGGTAGGAATGCTCATAATATTCTACAGGGATATCCAAACAACACGCGTGCGTTTTTTACCAAAGACGCCTTAAACCAGCCTCCAAATTAGACCGAAAGGGGTCTACTCAGTATTTGGATAGGAATGCTCATTATGTTTCACAGGAAATATCCGAACAACACGCGTGTGTTTTTTTACCAAAGACGCCTCAGCTCAGAATCGCCTAGCACTTACAGGTGAGTCTGACTTATTATGTATTGGTCCTTATTAGCGAAACATACTGATGTACAATTATCAACGTTGTCGTAAGTGTGTATCGCCTTGATTCTGTTAGCGAGGACCAGCAACCTCGGCAAATCGACACCTGTGGTCCACATGTTTCTATTTCAACGTAATACTTTGTTCTGGAACCGAGTCCATCGGTGCATCGCCCGGAGCATGTTATATAAAGTGGGCAATGGGTATTTCATCCTCGCGTCCCATTAACTCACTCACTCTCACTCAGTTTTAGAGACACTGTCATGCCGTATGACATGGATGCTGGGGAAGATTTCGAGGCTGAGATTAACGCCGTCTCGGATGATTCTGATTCTGATGGATCTGATGGTGAAGTATCTGGGAGCGACTTGGATGCAGTAAGGATGGTCCTGGCTGTCCCTGGGCCAGATGCACAAATGCATGATGTTCGAAAGGTAGGCACGACACTTATATCATTCTTATTAGTCTACAACATCATCTGATATATGCTCTTACGTATCAGGCCCTTGCGGTAGCCCAGCAAGCTTACCATGCAACACGTTCTGAACTACGGGTCCTCAAGAAACAGTATCTCACTCTTTCATCTGCAATTCCTGCTCGCAGCCGCAACCGCATGCTCAAGAAGACGTCTCCACTGGATTCCAGCATCACCCACCAAGGACAGAAGTATACCCTGTTTAGTCATTTCTGGGTCATAAACGGTCTGTTTCCGACTTCTCCTCAACCTGCTAATGTCGACCCACGCGCGCTACACGTTGGAGCTCTCCCGATGCGAAGCTTAAAGGTGCAATGGGCTGAGCTGTAATCAGATCATACCTAAAGACTTGCAACCTCCATGGGAAACCTATCCACTGTTTCGATCATTGGTAAGTTTATGATTCAAACACTGCCAAATTTCACGCTGATACTTCTGTTGGCCTTAGTTTCGTTCGGCAGTCAGCTCCGAGAGGTCAAACATTCTGCACAGTATCAAGGATTGTGCAGGTGTTATATTCTCTCCTTTCAAGCTCGACCCCAGCATCTTTGCCGACCAGCCTTCCAAAAAGCAGGACAACAAGGATCTCCTTGTCCTGCTCAAGAGGAATGGAGAGGGCGATTACATCCGCCTTGCACCTGTGCTATTTGCGAAGCCCAATGCTATGTCAGCCGATGATTTCCTCAAGTCTCCAGTGCTCGTCAAAGTAAGTGCCACTGATCAATGTCCAAGTATGATGGCTAACTCTATTGCTCATACTAGATTATTCGCGTTGAAGTGTATGGAAAGGCGATACTTGGTGGGAAGACAAGGGGCCATCCAAAGGGCAGGGGTCTGCGAATGGGTGCGCAGAGTGTTACTGAGGGTATGATTGCTGGCGCTGCTATATTGGTAAGTATTCTATCATTGTCCGTCCTTTGCTTTGCATCATTGCTGATTATTCATTCACAGGCACGTTTCTTGTTAACGCACGATACCGAGCTCACTGCGACCGGAGCAGAGACGAAGATCGATTACCAGAAGGATTACGACTTCTATCTGGAACGCTTATTCAAAAGCTCTCCATGGGCAATTGGCGTGATGGAATACTTCAATAAGGAAGTTTTCAACACCCGTGCAGCGCTATTGAGTGCACCCGCATCCGTTGTACCCTCTGCCTCCATCCCTCGCACCTGGGAAGATGACCTATTGGAGGAATTGGATAATCCTGTTGCTCGTGCACCCTCGCCAACTCTTCCTGTTTTCCGCGCACCCTCGCCGGCTCTTTCCAATCTCTCTGCTCTTTCTGCAGCCTGCAGATCCTACCACCCAGGATGACTGTATCATTGTCTCAACATCAATGTCAATCAGCCAGCCACGTGCCGGCGTGTCTTCTACGCAGCTACAGGTGGATGTTAGTCAGTTATCGCTAACTGATCGTGATTCTTCGGCAGCGCGCAGACTGAACCAGCAGGTGGAAAAGCATGGCGTCGGGTCGTATTTCAGCTCAGCCTGTCCCTGCTGCTGTACCAGATGTTCCGAAACCCAAACACATTAGCACACGCAGCAAGAAACCAACAACGAGGTGATTCAGAGCATTTGGTTGTTATTATTCGGTCTTATCATTAGCTATTCCTACTCTGGACTTTACATCAGTCTCTCCTCGTACTTAGGACTACATACTTGATGTCAGATGTGTTTTGATTGATATGCAATGCTACAATTTTAACCTTAGACTTGATGGCCTCAACCGCAACTTAAGTTTTGGGTAAGACATTATGTTGCCTTATAAGGACCTTATAATGTGCACATATAGCATTGGGGTTCCATCTTATATGTGGCCGTTTGGCTAAGGGGTAACTATGCCAGTTAATACTAGTTCTACTTGGTAAGGTCAAAGTCTAGAGTTCGAATCCCACCAGTGTACATTACAATAGTTAATAATAGTAGTATAGATCATGATTAGATAGACAGTAGTTAATAATAGTACTAGATAATGATTAGATAGTAACATAAATAGGATAGTCGTACAAATAAAATGGTAGTACAACAATTAAAGTTCGGTTGGAAGTGTTGAAAGA